ATATTATTACTTTTCTCTAACGTAATTTTTGAGAAAATACCTTTATATCTTCTCCTATTATTTTTTATATTTATATTTAGAAACAGTTTTAGAAAAAGGGTGCCTTCAAGAGCTGGAAATTGTTAACACATTGTTAAAACTTTTAATTTGGGAGATTATCGTAGCTTACACGAAAGTATTGGCATTTTTTTATAGACATAAACTATATTTACTCAATAAATCAATATAACAGCGTGAACTTTGACGTTTATTAAATTCTATCAGTTGTTATTGATGTATTGGTGGATTGACGAATTGACCAGTTGCAATCGCATTTTGACTTTACTATACCTATAAATAATACATAAAAGATTAATTCAACTTCTCTTTCTATCTATCGATAATTCTATGACAGACCCATCGAGAATTCCATCCACAAACAAAATTCAGCAAGCTGCAAAAATGAAATAGTTTAATTCAAACGTATATAGGTATCTTTTATTTACAGTAACTAAAAAGTGCTTTTATTCAACGAATAAATCAAATCATTCTTCAGTCACAACAAGAAATATTTATAGACTCGGATTGAGTCACTTCGTTTGCGCGCAAAGTTTTAAATATTTTCTTTTTTCCTTCGGAACTTTCCGTCGAACTTTTCCTCGCGAAGGGGACTCGACGATATCGTCGAAACGAAAATTCGCGTAGGTAAAAGTTAAAGCAGCGGAAGTTGGAAAATTTTCAAATTACGGACTACCGAAACCTTCTACCTCGCCGAATCGGGATTGGCAGCGCCACGCGCCATCGAGAACGCGATGAGAGAAGTCGAGAGACCGTCGTCCGATAACGAAGACGAGCCCCCTCGAGAACGCCTTTCTTTCTTCGACCGGATGAATAAACTCGGGGGGGCTAATTATCGCGATAAGTACAGAAGGAGCGCACCAGCACGCCCCCCCCTCCCCCCCGTCGTGCGTTTCCACGATGAAACTTCATAATGTTAACGAGCGGTGGTGGCTGCGCGCGGTGGCACGCTCGATGCTTCAATCGGAGGAATGCCTGAAATATCTGCTCGCAGTTACCGGCGAGATAATATGTATTCGCATCGCACTTGTACGTCGGTTGGGCGGGACGTGGCGTTTATTACCCCGCAGCAATGCGCAATTAAAGTAGAATAGATGGCATTTGAGCAATGCCGAGTCCGCAGATGCTAGATGCGAGATGAATATCGCTTCGCGACGAGGGAACGATCTAGTCGAATCAGTCGTCGCATACTAATTGATTTGCATGAACGCATGTTTATTTATATTACAGCCGCGACACTCGGTTCCCTAGGTAGTCATTAATAATCGCACAAGCGATCCCACCGTATATCCGTGAGATTAAGTTTCTATTTGCGTAAGAGAAAATTAACTGAAGTCAATCACTTCGAGAGACAAACTAACGTTTGGAATTCTTTTTTTTTTTTTTTTTTTTTTCGTCCTAGTAAACTTGTAAGTAGTAATTTTTGAGTAGTATTT